AAAAAAAAAAAAGGAAAGTGTTCATTTTAACTCCTGCTCCTGTGAGGGAAATCTGAAACCAAGGGCATAGGGCAGTGCTGATAAAAGCTCTATCATTATCAAGGCTGAGGTTTAGGAAAGGACCCAGATAGTGTTGAACAATTGACTGTTCCTGGGGATGTTGTCTAGGGCTTCAGGGATGTGGAGGACAGAGAGGAATGGGGTAGAAGAGGAGAGGGGGCAGGGAAACTTGGCCAGCCAAGGCTGGGTTTAGATTCTGAAGGAAAAAAAAGAACCAGGTTTTAAGGACCCTCGACCCTTCTTCCTAGTACCTGAGAGATACTCTTTTGAATCTCAGGAATGTTGAGCCTCATCTTTTTGGAAAGATTCTAAGCACTCAGAAAGACATAGCTTAGCCTGGTTGTCAGGCTGGGTTTTAGGTGTGCTTCCTTCTACCTCCCTCCCCTTGGAACCTCCAAACCCAGGAAGAAATGGAGTCAGGAATGGGTACTATAGGGATGCCTGGGTGGCTCAGTCAGTTAGGCATCTGCCTTCGGCTCAGGTCATGATCCCAGGGCCCTGGGATCGAGTCCCACATCAGGCTTCTTGCCCTGCTGAGCAAGGAGCCTGCTTCTCCCTCTGCCTGCTGCTCCCCCTGCTTGTGCACTCTCTGTCTCTCTCTCTGACAAATAAATAAATAAATAAAATCTTAAAAAAAAAAAAGGAATGGGTATTATAGGGTCACAGGTAGTTCCTGAAACATCCTCTGCTCTCCCCATCCCTGCTGTTTTCCTGGTTCAGTCACACTTGGTGTAGTTTGAGAAGGGAAGACAGAGCAGAATGAGATCTCAGTGGTCCTAAGGGAAATGAGGCCAAGACTGAAAGAATCAGGCGTTGAGCAAATAAGGTTTCAACATTTTACCCGTAAGCCTCCAGGTGCTAATAAGATTTTTGCACCCAAATAGCAAATCTAGACCTCCACTGTAGTGATTTTTCTTCCCAGATCCCTTTTCCCATCACTAGAACTTAGGAAAGCCTTTTGAGGCAAAGCTTACTGGAGAAGTTCTCTTAGGTTGGGGTCCCTGGGTGGCTCAGTCATTAGGCGTCTGCCTTCGGCTCAGGTCATGATCCCAAGGTCCTGGGATCCAGCCCCGCATCAGGATCCCTGCTTGGTGGGAAGCCTGCTTCTCAGTCTCCCACTCCCCTTGCTTGTGTTCTCTCTTTGGCTGTCTCTCTCTGTCAAATAAATAAATAAAATCTTAAAAAAAAAAAAAAAGAAGTTATCTTAGGTCAAATTGGCAGCTTGGCTCCTCATTTGCAAGAAAATCTATTTCATCTCCCTTTTCGGGAGCTCTCTCCAACAAGCCCATTCTCCTCAGTGCTTAGGTTGTTTATTATTATTATTATAGCTTTAGTGAGGTACAACTGATGTAGAATAAACTGTACAATTTGACGAATCTCGATATATGTGTTCACAGGTGAAACTGTAACCACGATTAAGATAATGAACATATCCATCACTGCCAAAGCTTTCCTTGTGCCCCTTGGAAATCTTTCCTTCTTCCATCCTTGTCCCTGGGGCAACCACTGATCTGCTTCCTCTCGTTATATAGATCGGTTTGCACTTTCTGGAGTTTCATATAAATTCAATAATTCAGTATGTACACCTTTTGGTCTGGTTTTTAACTTAGCATCATTATCTTGAGATGCATCCATGTTGTTGCTTGTATACATAGTTCACTCCTTTTTATTTCTGAGGAGTATTTCACTCTATGACTATAGCACAATTTCCTCACGCTTTTACCTGTGGATGGACATTGGGGTTGGTTCCCTTTGGGGCTATTATAAATAAAGCTGTTGTGAACATCTGAGTATAAGTCTTTGTGTGGATGTGTTCCCATTTACTCCAAAGCTCCCCATTCTGGCTCCTTTTTCCCACCATGTCCCCAGTTACTCACCTCCCTCTTGCTAGAAACAATAATCACCCATCTTCCCCCAAACTCACACAGTTAAGGGCCAGCCTCCTAAAAGATCTGCTTCATTTAATTTTTCCTCACGTAAACAGAGCCAGCCCCTTCATCATTTTTATTGCCCTATTTCAAACTCCTTCCCACTTGTTTATACCTTCCTGGTAATGAGACATCTAAGGCTAAGCAAGGTATGCTGTTGTTATTTATTCAGCTTGGCAAATGTACTTGAGTCCTTGGTGATACTTTTCTAAGGTACCTGGTAGTGGGTGGGCTACATACTGATGAGGCACTTTGACCTCAAACAGAGGAAGGGGCTAAGCTCAAATGGTGTGGGAGGCTGCCTTGGGATACAGGTCTTGAGAGGTTATCTGTCCACCTTAGCACTATCACCTGTGGGTTCTTCCCTGGATGGGTATTCTGGAACACAGGCCCCACTCACTCACTAGTTGTCAAAAACCTTATCCTACTGAATTCCCAACTCTCAGTTCTGAGGTAGTTTTTTTTTTTTTTTTTTTTTAAGATTTTACTTATTTATTTGAGAGAGAGGGAGAGAGAAAGCACGAGCAAGGGGAGAGGCAGAGGGAGAGAGAGATGCAGGCTCCCCACTGAGCAAGGAGCCCGATGTGGGACTCAATGGGATCATGACCTGAGCCAAAGGCAGATGCTTAACCAACTGAGCCACCCAGACACCCCAGTTCTGAGGTAATGTTGTAACTACAACTTCTCTCTCTCTTCTTTGGGTGCAGGGAGCCTGGAACTGCAGGGCAGCCTGAGAGTGGAAAGGGCAGCTAAGGCTCTGTGTTCTCAACTGTGATAACCCAGCACTTGTTGCCTGCCTGGGTGTAGGTCGGGGTTGGGGTGAGGGGAGATGACTTTACTCTTTTCCAGACAGACAATAACAAGTGTTGGTGAGGATATGGAAGAACTGGAACCCTCCTACCTTGCTGGTGGACATGTAAAAATGTACCACTTTGGGAAATAGTTTAGCTGTTTCTTAGAGAGTTAAACATACATTCACCATATGACCCAGCAATTCCATTCCTGGGTATGTACCCAGGAGAAATGAAAACACGTTTGTACAAAGATATGAATATAAATGTTCATAGCAGCATTATTCATAATAGCCCAAAGTGGAAACAATCCAGATGTCTATTCAACCAGTGAATGGATAAACAAGACGTGGTATATTCAAACAATGAAATACTATTCCACAATAAGGAACAAAATACAGATGTGTGCTCGAACATAGATAAACCTCAAAAACATTATGATTAAAAAGTTTTGTACACACTGTATGATTGTATTTTTATGAAGTGTCCAGAAAAAACAAATCTATAGAGACAGCAGATTAGTAGAGACTGGGGTAAGGGTAGGTATTGACTGCAAATCAGCTTGCTATTTTGAGGATGGTGGGGTGTCCTAAAACGGGATTGTGATGTTCGAACAACTATAAATTTACTAAAAGTCATTGAGTTGTACAAATGGATGAATTTCATGGTATATAATTATACCTCAATAAAGCTTTTTTAAAATTCCTGTACTTCAATAAATCTAGATTTTAAAATTCTTTTCCTTCCCTGGTCTTTGAGTGCCCATTCTCTAGGTGGAATACGCAATGTTAATTCTACCCTACAGATATGTCCTCCATCCTTTTTTTTTTTTTTAAGATTTTATTTATTTATTTGATAGAGAAAGACACAGCAAGAGAGGGAACACAAGCAGGGGGAGTGGGAGAGGGAGAAGCAGGCTTCCCGCCAAGCACAAGCCTGATGTGGGGCTCGATCCCAGGACCCTGGGATCATGACCTGAGCTGAAGGCAGACGCTTAACAACTGAGCCACCAGGAGCCCCTATGTCCTCCATCCTTGAGGGTGAACCTCTTGGATTCTCTCTCCTGCTAGCTGCCGTGGCCTGTGCTCTAACCAGACCCTCTGCTCAGAGGACATAGCCCTCTAAGATTGTGGTGCTGATTTGCAAGCTGGAGGCCGAAGAGCTGGCCCTAAGGTAGGAGGGGTGGAGGTCCTCCTGACTCTCGCTTAGGGATTCATTTTGAAGGAAGGGACTTTAAAAATCTGGGGAGGAAAATGGGTGGAAATGAGTCTATCCTGAAGTGTCTTCTCCTATCCCTGTGACCCACGTAAATCAGTCTGCCTACCTGGGTTAGGGTGCGTCCTCACTTTCCAAACAAATCCAGAAGTCAAGTTTCACACAACCAGTAATGGGTGTCTTCCTCAGAGAAAATTATTTCCGCACTTTCCCAAACTCATTTCTCCTCAGAACCAACTTCTCACCCCAGAACATTTTCAGATCCAATAACCAGACTCCTGAGAACCAAACTGTTCTTCCTTTATTCAACAAATGAGTGGAGCATCTACTGTGGGTGAGTTGATCCAGGGAATTTGGAGGGGGTCTGGGAGAAAGACAGAAAAATCCATCCTAGTCTGCCACTCACCTTTGAGTCTATTTTTTTTAAAGACTGTATTTATTTATTTATTTATTGTAGATAGAGTGAGTGGGGGAGGGGAGGAGCAGAGGGAGAGGGACAAGCAGACTCTATGTGGGGCTCCACGCAGGGCTCGATCTCATAACCCTGAGATCATGACCTGAGCTGAAATCAAGAGTCACACGCTTAACTGACTGAGCCTTGCAGGTGCCCCAACTCTGAACCTCTTTAGAGTCAGCTGTGAGTTTTCCCAAACTGGCTTCTCAGAGACAGTGAATCTCCTCTGGCTGCCTTATCACACCAATTTTCAGTCATCTCAATGCCAACATCTCCAACTGTGTTCTCAGAACCACCTATTTAGTACTCTCAGGTCCACTTGACTTGTAAACCTTCTCAAATCAGTGATCAGCAGTACCTTGGGAGTATTCCTAACCTCTCCTGCTGAGCAGGGAGCCCATATACTGTGTCTTTTAAAAAGGGGGGTAATTAAGAGGGTGCTTGGCTGGTTCAGTCAGTAAGGCATGTGACTTTTGATCTCAGGGTTGTGACTTTGAGGCCTACTTTGGGTGTAGAGATCACTTAAAAATAAAATATTTAAAAAAAAGTAAAGAAGCTTTTATGAAGATGGCGCCGAAGGCTAAGAAGGAAGCCCCTGCCCCTCCCAAAGCCGAAGCCAAAGCAAAGGCTTTGAAGGCCAAGAAAGCGGTGCTGAAAGGCGTCCACAGTCACAAAAAAAAGAAAATCCGCACGTCACCTACGTTCCGACGACCCAAGACACTGCGTCTGCGGAGGCAGCCCAAATATCCTCGAAAGAGCGCCCCCAGGAGAAACAAGCTTGATCACTATGCCATCACCAAGTTCCCCTTGACCACTGAGTCAGCCATGAAGAAAATAGAAGACAACAACACACTTGTGTTCATTGTGGATGTCAAGGCCAATAAGCACCAGATCAAACAGGCTGTGAAGAAGCTCTACGACATTGACGTGGCCAAGGTCAACACCTTGATCAGGCCTGATGGAGAGAAGAAGGCATATGTTCGACTGGCTCCTGACTATGATGCTTTGGATGTTGCCAACAAAATTGGAATCATCTAAACTGAGTCCAGCTGGCTAAATCTAAATTAAATTTTTTTCACCAAAAAAAAAAAAAAAAGTAAAGAAAAACATTCTATTTATGAAAGTAAAAGAAAAAAATAAGACTAAGCAAATAATTTCTAGAATCTGGCGTGATGTGGGGGTATTCATGAAGGTCCCCTGATAGAGTATTCTCTCTCCCTGCAGGGATCTGCCCCTTCAGTTGTAAGGTGTTACAGAAGAGTGCTTAAGAATAAAGAAAGGTTTTCTAGAGACTTGGGTTTCTAGGTTTTTTGCTGCTGGGACTAGCAGGATAGAAGCACCGGAGAGCTGCTGCTGGCTTCTAAATTTGAGGGCTGTAGGTTTTTCTAAAAATCAGGAAGGATTGTTATTTTGTTAACTTGCTGAGCTTCCTCAACTATGTCTTAAGAGAACTCTTGAGATCTTGACCCATCATTGAATTATCTCTATCCCCATTTCTAATATACAATTCAAACATGCCACCAGGCTCCAAGCCTTTCTCTTAAATTTCTTTCTTCTGCTTATTGCTGAGTTGATATTAACCAGGGGGTCTTGTTGGTTATTCTTGGATCGACTGCTTGCTTTGTGGGGTCCCCACTTATTAGGCACATAAAAGGAAGAGCACAAGTGTGGGTAACTTTCTTGGGGCCACACTCAGCACTGGGCCATCCAAAGTCTATGCTGTTCCTTCAGCCCCAGTCTCTTATCCAAAAAACATTTTTTTAAAAGATTTTATTTATTTGAGAGAGAGAGCACGAGAGGGGAGAGGGTCCGAGGGAGAAGCAGACTCAGGGGAGCCTGATGCGGGACTCGATCCTGAAACTCTGGGATCATCTCCTGAGCAAAAGGCAGTTGTTTAACCAACTGAGCCACCCAGGCACTCTCTAAAAAACATTTTGTTAAAATACCTGCTTTATTGTTAGACCTTGAGCATGCAGAGATAAACTAGATAGAGTCACAGGGGCAGCACAGAACTGGGTGTGAGAAAGATTTGGACATAAATAAGTACCTTACAGTGTGAAATGTTAGGAGTGCGTATGGAACAGGGAATGACTAATTCTGTCAAGGAGAAGATGTAGGAAAAGGATGTGGAAGAAAGACTGGGAGTTCACAGAAAGATTTGCAGGCAAGGATTTAAACGCAAGGAGGTCAGTGTGTTCAGAAACCAATGAATTAATGGTAGTGTGGCCAGGAAGCAAGGAGAGGAGGGGGCAAGGAACATGGCTGGAAAGGCAGGTCGGAGCCAGATTTGGAAGCCTGTACTTTTCCTAGAGGCAACAAGGACTCAAGTGTTTTTAGGGGGAAGACCAACAACTTAGTATGACGGTGTTTCTGGGGTGTTTCAAAGGCCATACTACTTCCTGCCTCGCTGGGAGGGTACTGGTGCCCTTGTTCCACTTGCAATTTAGTTATTGCAGTAATAACAATAATAATAACAATAATTTGAGCTGGTCACTTGAGATTCTACACATGCTCTTTATTTTTTATTTTTTTTTAAAGATTTTATTTATTTATTTGACACACAGAGAGAGCGAGAGAGAGAGAGAGGGAGAGAGCACAAGCAGGGGGAGCGGCAGGCAGAGGGAGAAGCAGCCCTCCTGCACGAGCAGGGAGCCCGATGTGGGGCTCGATCCCAGGACCCTGGGATCATGACCTGAGCTGAAGGCAGCGGTTTAACCAACTGAGCCACCTAGGCGCTCCTACACATGCTCTTTAATTTCAGCTTTTAATAAAGTATGAGTCATCTCAAGCCCAAGTATTCGATTTCAGCCCATTTTCCTTCAAATCAGTTAGAACTTGTAAATATGCTCCAATTTAATGGGTAATCAAAGCCTCATATATATCTTTTAAGATTTTATTTATTTATTTTTAAAGATTTTATTTATTTGTAAGAGAGAGAGCTAGGGAGAGAGGAAGAGAGAGAGGGAGAAGCAGACTTCATGCTGAGCAGGAAGCCCGATGCAGGACTCAATCCCAGGACTCTGGGATCATGACCTGAGCCAAAGGCAGACGCTTAACTGACTGAGCCACCCAGGCGCCCCGAGATTTTATTTTTTTGAGTATTCTCTACACCCAGTGTGGGCCTCGGACTCACGACCCCGAGATCAAGAGGTGCATGCTCTCCCGACTGAGCCACCCACGTGCCGCACAAACCTGGTAAACACTAATCTACTTTCTCTTTCTGTGGATTTGCCTGTTCTGGACATTTCATATAAATGGAATCATACAATATGTAGCCTTTTCTATCTGGCTCTATTCACTTAGCATAATGTTTGTAAGGTTCATCCATGTTCCAGTAGGCTTCAGGACTTCATTCTGTTTTGAGGCTGAATAATATTCCACTGTATGGATATACCACCTTTTTGTTTACCCATTCATCAGTTGATGGACATTTGGATTGTTCCACTTTGGCTATTACAAATAATGCTGCTGCTATGAACATATGTATAGATTTCTATGTGGACATGTTTTCACTTCTCTTGGGTGGTCTCTTTTTGTGATGTTAAAATTAATTGGTGCTTTCGGGACGCCTGGGTGGCTCAGTCAGTTAAGCGTCTGCCTTCGGCTCAGGTCATGATCCCAGAGTCCTGGGATCGAGTCCCGCATCGGGCTCCCTGCTCGGCAGGGAGCCTGCTTCTCCCTCTGCCTCTGCCTCTCTCTCTCTCTCTCTCTCTGTCTCTCATGAATAAATAAATAAAATCTTAAAAAAACAAACAAACAAACAAAATGTCAAACTTGGCTTTAAAAAAAAATTAATTGGTGCTTTCAAGTATTAATGGGATTAGGAAGTTCCTTTAGTCTTTCACCTAATAGAATCCCTGGTGATTGATGATCCTTGTCCAAATCCATTATCTCACAGAGGTTACAAAATGGTGATTTTATAATTCTGTCATTCCATTTCATTTATTAGCCAGAATCTAACAATAAAGAATTTAGACTAAATGACATTTGTTAAGGGGTGCCTGTCTGGCTCAGTCAGTAGAGCACGTGGCTCTTGATCTCGGGGTTATATGAGTTTGAGCCCCACGTTAGGGGTGGAGTTTACTTAATTAAAAAAAAATCATACTTGTTTAAAAAAAAGGGCAAGATAAATAATTGTCTGTTTTCTTTCTTTTATCAAATAATGATATTTTGGTTTTTTTAATATTTTATTTATTTGAGAGAGAGAGAGTGAGAGAGAGAGCATGAGAGGAGAGAGGGTCAGAGGGAGAAGCAGACTCCCCACTGAGCAAGGAGCCCGATGTGGGACTCGATCCCGGGACTCCAGGATCATGACCTGAGCCGAAGGCAGTTGCTTAACCAACTGAGCCACCCAGGCGCCCAAATAATGATATTTTGTACTTTCCTATATGGAACCCTAATAAATTCTGGGTCCCTTCATGGTCAAGGCTCTAGGTGGAGTTACAAATAGAGAATTATAATCCTGGAGCCAGAAAATAAAAATTTTATTCCAATTTCTACTTGAGGAATTATAGGGGATTCATTTAATGCCCCATAGTGATACTTCACAAAATTCCTCCTACTTCTCCTTTTCTAGCCCATCTCTTTCCCTTCTCCTTCCCCTTCCTTGTTCTTTATTATATAGATCAATTTAGCCTCTCTGCTCCAATTTTTCCCTCTCCCAGCCTCTCGGGCTCTACATCTCATTCTCTCTCTCTAACCAGCTGCACCCCTCCTCCTTTCCCAGTATTTCTGATTCTACATTAAAAAAGATCCAGGAACAGGGCTGGCAAAGACCAAACTCTTTTTTTTTTTTTTAGATTTTGTTTATTCACTTGAGAGAAAGCGAGCACAGGAGCAGCGGAAAGGGCAGAGAGAGAAAAGCAGGCTCCCAGCTGAGCAGGGAGCCCGATGCGGGGCTCGATCCCAGGACCCTGGGATCATGACCTGAGCCGAAGGCAGACGCTTAACGACTGAGCCACCCAGGCGCCCCAAGACCAAACTCTTTAAACTGGAAAGTGGGATTGGATTCTAAGCTGGAAAACTTTTGATGGATAGGTAAAATGAGAGAAACAATGGAGGAACATTCACACTAATAAATCTTATTATCATCACATGTACTTTCTGCAACGAACATGCATAAAAAATACATGAATGGAATAGAAAATACATAAATAAAATGTTTTTAAACATCAAAGAGATGGTAGGGAAAGAAAGAAAGGAGCAGTACCCTCTTTCACTTTCCAGTTCTCCTTTCTCTCTACATAGGCTGACTGCTACATCCTTGACTTGCTATTCCAGGGAAAGTGAAATGGAACCTTTCCTCTGACTCAGGGTTCCAAGTGTTTCCCACCCCCACAGCCCTGCAGCAGGGGTGGGAGCGGTGGAGTCTGTTCGTGTAACGAGGCAGAGGAGTCTCTGGGAGAGGCCACTGGGAGCCCGCCCAGTGGGGGAGGCTGCCACTCTGTGGTCTCCCTGATTGATTGCTGGGTTCTCTAGCCTCTTCTCCAAAAAGCGCCTCCCTTGGGCATTAAGGAGACCTCCCGAGGGTGGTTGGGTTTATATATTTTTGCGTCTCTTAGGGAAATGTCAAGGCATGTGGTGGGGGGCGGGTAGTGAAGCCTTCTCAAGGTTTCCTCTTGCCTTGGGAATCTGGATTGGAGACAACCAGAGCCCCAAGACACTGGGCCCACGTGACCCAGGCCCATCTATCGAGACCCTAGAAATAGTCTGGTGGCAAGTCTGAACTAAACCGAGGGAACACCCCTGGCCAGGTTCTCACCTGTGTGGTGAGCACTACAGAAATGTAGGTGTGGGCAGATTTTCGTGGTCTCAGCCTATGTGAGCAGGAGCCCTTGAGGACGTGGAGAAGCCGTGGTGGAGGCAAGGCCAAGTAGTTAAGCCCAGGTGCTCTGGAGCCACAGAGTCAAATTCTAATCCTTCACTCTGCCACTCCCATTACTTAGTGATCAGAGACGAGTACCCTACTTTGCGAGCCTCAGTTTTCACCTGTAGAAAATGGGCATAATGGTTCCATCTCATTGGTTGGTGGTGAGGATTATATGAGATAATGTCTACAGAGTGCCTGGCCCGCCCCCATTAATTGGGAGCTCTTGTTATGGA